CTTCGTCGACCTCAGCTGCCCTGCTGGAAGCCCGCAGAACCCTTCCTCCGGGTGCCACATACGACAGCGCACAAATCCCTTGAACGCCAGCTCATCAAGAGTCTGAGGAATGACCGCGAGAAGTGGTTGGTAGAAAAGTGTAAAGAGATGGATGAAGAATAGGAGAAGAAAGGAAAGTTGAAAGTGGAGTCGAAGAGAAAATGGAGAAGTTCAGTGGTCTCAGGTTGCAAACACCAGTGATGATGAAACCAACTGGATCAACATCTGCAAGGACGTTGCCACTATGCATGGGTAGCCGCGATCGGAGACATTAATGGTTTGGGTCTATATTCCGTCATGAATTCTCCACGAGGTTAATTTATCTGAATCAATAGAACCAAAACCTTCAAGTGCAAATAATGTTTCCTGTTGTCTTTTTTTCAGCCTCCACTCGCCTTAGATGGATTTAGTCCTCCAGACTCTGCGCCATCGTCTTTTCTCTGCAAAGCATACCACCTTATTATTGGATGACGAACTGCAAAGAGTAAAAGAGACTATTCGTTCACTTGTTGTCCATGGTGAAAGTAATTCTTTACTTATTGTCGGACGACGTGGTGTGGGGAAAAAACGCGTAGGTCGTTTGATATTATTTTTATTCACAGCTATTGACCCAAGCTCTGAATGAAGTAAAACGAGATCCTCTTGTCCAAAAAAACTTGCTACAAGTAGAACTCAATGGTAATATGCACTTCTGTTGTCACGTATTCTGTGATTTAGGTTTGGTTCACACGGACGATCGACATGCGCTTCGTTCCATGGCTAGACAATTGCACCGTGAAGCCTTACTGTCTAGTTCAGTTGACGAGTCATTGGATGAAGAGTCCGTTAGCCTTCCGTTTTCGCAGCAGCTTCAGTGGTTCTTGGAAGGACTGCGTTCCGGAGAAGGAGCTTCCATGTCATTGTTGATTATACTGTATGAGTTCGATCTGTTTGCACTTCATCGAAATCAGATATTGTTGTATAATTTATTTGACTGCTGTCAATGCACCGATACCCCAATATGCGTCATTGGCGTAACTTGTCGACTTGTGAGTTGAAGTCTCAATTTCCATCTTGATGGATCTTTCTCGGCCTCTTGTGCACACTTAACTTTAGCTTAGTTATCATTCACTGATAGATATGAAATATTGTTTTTGATTTGTCTAGAAATCGGTTATTGAATAAGCACTTAATGAACAAAATGTTTTTTGGAAAAAGTTTCCCTCCGTTCGTTGCAAGTTATTTTGGCTCTTGAACGTTTCTGTTTTTGGTGACCACCTTTTGTGTAATAGTCGAACCATCTAGACACATGTAGTTGGTTTTCGTATTTTTCGAAAAGCAGCAGATTTATTCTAGACTATGCGGTACCCTATAGTGCAGTTCGTTCACCGAGTCGGGAAAACTGTCAAGTAGATAGAGTGGTGTCCTTATTTAGCGATGGGTCGCAGTCGACGGACTCATGCGACGTTTTATGGCGGATAATCCCTACCGAGCAACACCACACCGTGTCCTCGGACACTGCTGCTCATCGTATTTCGCCGCTTATTTAGTCTGCCCGAGCTTACGCTATTCAAGGTTGACCAATAAATTGGTGACCTATCTCCTATCCGCGACCTGATGGTGTACTGCTCTGTTTTTGGTCTCCAAACAATATAGAAATCCATCTTTCCAGGTGATTTTTGTCATTTCTGTTTAAATCTCTTTCCAGTATACGGTGAATAATTTTCACTAAGTAACTTAATTTACTTGATTCATTCTGCTATCTTGTGTTCACAACTTCTGTGCAACACATCAAGTGCATATACGAAGAAACACAAAACAAAACTTTTTACTTCGGAAATTTTGATTTTATCAAATTATTGACCCATATTTTTATTAAATCGTAAAATAGTCCCATAGGCAATGCAGAAAACGGTATTCGCGAAGAAATTTCTTTTCGATATATCGCATCAGGCGTTTACATATATAAGGTGATCATAATACAGATGTCTAATTGGCCGATTAGAGCTCAGTTAGTAACGATGACAGGGGCGAGCAAACAGATCAAACGAATATGACTAGGCTAATGATAGTTGCTATACATGACCTATAGTTTCTACCGTATATTACGTAACTTCATCCCGCACTCTCGTCTTAGCTCACAACCTTCATTTCATTTGCTCATCTCTCGAACGTTTGTCCATTTGACCTTTGTGTTCTCACCCCCACCCACGACTATCATTAGTCTTGTCATATTCGTTTGATCTGTTTGCTCGCCCATGTCATCGTTACTAACTGAGCTCTAATCGGCCAATTAGACATCTGTATTATGATCACCTTATATATGTAAACGCCTGATGCGATATATCGAAAAGAAATTTCTTCGCGAACACCATATTTTTATGTGGAATGCAAAAGGAACAGTAAACCGGTTAGGTATAGACTCGGTTTACGTCAGGTACTTGAATAGATATGTCAAATCCTTAATTGGTGAGGAGAAGTGTGACCTGTATGCACGATCCTAAAGGTGGAACACTCTTGTAAATTTACTTTCTAGGATATTATGGAACTGCTAGAGAAGCGAGTCAAATCCCGATTCTCTCATCGCCAGATCCACCTAACCTCAATCGCCGCCCCATTAGACCATTGCACATCGTACGGAGTTGATGATGAAAACGACGATACCAAATCCCCGGCTTTTGAACGTTTCTGTCAGGCTTGCACGCACTTTCTAACTTTTCGGATCGATGAAGTAATCTCGAAAGACACTCATTTTTTGACTCAGACGGAACGCCGTGTGGCTGAGTCAGCTGTCAAGGCCTGGAACCATCATATAGTGGAGTTATTGTCAGATGAGATTGTGATCGACTCTCTTCGACAGGCTTGGTCCGTTTCTGTCAGCTTGCGCCGGCTTGTGAATCTTTTAGTGAGTTTTACCTTGAGCTAATATGAAATATTTGACATTGTTAAACTTCGTTTTTGTAATCTTATATTTTGATGTTACCAAATAACACTCGAGGAGTGTCTTACTGCTGCCATAGTGTGGACCTATACATGTCCGAAGCATTCTTACACCTGAGTAATTGTTTTTTACTCATGATGTTATGTAGAGAACTGTTGAAGCGAGCACCGTGTTAGATGAACTGACAACGGCAACCGTCTCCTACAAATCTGCGCTGAACGTGATCTTTTCTTTCCGAGCACCAATTTTCGTTGGCAATGGCGCCAACGTTCTACCTGGTGATCTCTATTGTCTGGTCAGCTCTGGACTCATATTGCCATCATCTATCGGTGGAGAAATTGCATAACGGACTGCAAATCCATCTGGAGCACATGTCACAGTTTTGATCATGCATTCGTGTGCGCGTAATTCTCCCTGCACTTTAGAGGAATACAGCAACGTCACTCGAGAAGACTCAATTTGATGAAACTGACCAACCCAAACATAGTTACCGCCTACCAAAACACGTTAGTTGCTGATCTAGACAGTCTGTCATTCTCGAACTTTGATTGCCAGTGTGCTCACATCCGTAACGCCATGCATAAGTTTTCCACCACAGCATGTTGCTTCACCAAACTCACCGTCAATCACTGGGTTTCGGCACGTTCTCTCCAACTGCTTGACACTCGTCGAAGCACCCCTCCAGGTATTGAATGCAACATAGTTCGCATGACTCTCACTGTTGAACTGAAACGGTTCCTGAAAAAGGATTGAGGGACCTGGTGGGCACAACGAGCTTCCGAGATGGAACTGGCCCCTGCTTCCGGTAATGTTCACAAACTTTTTCGACTAATTCGGGTCGCCGGTAACAAAAAGCCATGCGTCAGTGAAACCATAAGCGAAACTAATGGCGAATGTACCCACCGTCTATGACGTCAGCTTGGATGCTGGGGCGGAGCACTTCTATCACCAATTCAATTCGCCATCGGCATCATCACCACCGTCTCGTGATGTATGCAGTATTCGATGGTCTGTGGACATTTCATCGCCTACCGAGTAAGAAGTCTTCCGAAAGTCCAGGCATCTGAAACTCCACAAATCGCCCGGTTCAGATGTATTCCCTCCGGTCATTTTCAAAGACGGTGGTGCAAGCTTTGTCCGAGAACTAACTTCCTTATTCCAAACCATCTGGTATACTGAATTCATTCCATCTGAATGAAGTTTGGCGGACGTCGTACCTGTTTTCAAGAATGGCCCCTGTAACGGTTGTTCCAATCGCCGAAGGATTAGTCTCATTTCCGTTGATTGGAGAAGTAGTATAGGAAGTGGACAAACTTTTCTATCTGGTCAGCTATATCTCACCTGGCTAGTGCATCACAGATAAAATGTCGACACGCATACAAAACGCTTGGTTGGCACTTGCCAACTTGAGACATTTTTGGCGCCTTCGAGACATCCGGCTGTCTGTAAAGAGTTGAGTCCGTACTGCAGCAGTTGGGCCAGTGCTGCGCTACGGTGCAGAGACTTGGCCATTACGGGAACAGGATAAAAAAGATTGTCCCTGTTCGAGCACCGCTGTCTAAGTCGCATTGCACGAGTCTGGTGAGGAGACAGGACAAGCAATACTGAAGTTAGATACATAGTTTTAGGTAATCGCGGTCGTCCACTGGAGCAAGCAGTCGACCTCCATAGAATACAGTGGTTGCGACCTGTGGTGCGCATGTCACCAAATAGGTAGTCATGGTGCGCGATGTATGCCGAGGCAACCAGTGGGTGGAAAAAAGCCAAGGGTAGTTGAACTAAGACCTGGCACGAGGGTGTGAAAACCCTAACCAGAAGACTGGGTCATAAAGATAGCGTTAGGTTGGGGTGGGAACCTCGAGGTCATTGTAATCAATGGTTGGAGAAACTGAATGAGATGGCTGTGTCGTAAAAAGTGGCGCACATACATCTGTTCGTAATCGCTTCAACCTTAGTCCGTGTTAACTCCTTGTCCTCCCCTTGAATCTGCTGTCAGCATTCTGAACATCATTCTTTTGTTTTATCCAAATGAGTGGTCAAAAGACAGTAAGCAAAATCTGCGCACGAAAGCTCATGGTTTATGATTGTGAAAACTGCAAACGGGGTCCAAGGATTCTAGTTGAGATGCTTACAGTTGATTGATCCGATATATGACAGAGTTCCTGCGGTTATAGTTCTCCGATTTTGTTTTTCACATCATCTCATGAGTACAGTGGAACAACCTGATATGCGATTTCTCTTATTACACATTTAAGCGTGATGAACAGCAGACGGGACGAACGCCATTGTTACGAGGATCTGCTATTCAGTGGTGGAAACCGGCAACCGAAGCCGCGGGACTTGGAGTAGCGAACTACATAAGGCCCCGACAGGTTAGGCATGGTATTGAACCGGACAACAGCAGAGCTGCCTACCACCAAAGTCGGGTGGCGGGGGCGGGGCTCGGACCATAGGGATTAGGCTCAGGCAGCGAGTGTTTACCTTCACAAGTTAAAATGATTGATATGTTGTTGTCTGAATCCGCATATGCTTCCTGGGTGTTTGTGGTGTTAGCATTTGGAAATGAACTGAAAGCGACTAGTCTCTTACTGCCTATCGTTGTTACAAAATTTTTGAGGGCTGAACTGAGTCTCCTAGGTCGTGATGAACCTTCCAGTTTTGTGGCCTGCAACACCGGTCTAATCTATAGCTGTTGCATCGCCACACTTGTCAAATACCTTTCTTGAAAGTATTATTATCAATAATTTGCGCGCAAAACACCTTGTTAAATAAAAGTGGTTTTAACCAAAAGTTTGGAATATGAAGTCAGGCGTTGTATGGAATGAAGCAGCAACTTATTTTCCATCTGAGCTTGCAATCTTTCCTTCTTTCAGATTACCATAGTCGCCAAACTTGGTCCTGAAAAAACACGGATTGAACCAGTGGAATTTATTGACTCACTTTGTGCCCTTCGACAAGATGCTAAAATTAACTCATTGAACGGTAAGTTAAAACCTTATCAAAGTGGATGTTGTTTCATTGAAGTGATCATCTATTCTCTCAGAAACTCTGTCATTTCTGATCACATCTACTTTTTTGGTTCTGTCCCAGGTCTATGTATCCTCGAACTGATTTTGATCGCAACTTTGGTCAAACTGCAGGATGTCAATGACGGACAGCCGGTGAACTTTGAGGTATTGTATAGCGGTAAGCCAATCTTTAATAGCCTCAGAAAACGCATCATTAAAGCAATGTTAATGTTCGCAAAGTTCGACACTAAATTAACAGCCCCACGCAGTCCAGTATGTCATGGTTGGGCCAATATTTATCACAACCAGACAACAATTCCTATCGACAGACTTTACCGGCCGAGAATGTGTATCGCTGCCATGCTTTCAGTGTACTCGACAAGAACAACTATCTTATTTCTATACACTGTTTGAATCTCGGTAAGGATTGAAAGAGCCTCAATGCGAATGGATCCTAGCAAGAATAAAAGAGCTGTTCTGTACTTGTTTTCTGCTCCAATAGCAATCTTGCTCGTCAGATGCACGCCAACTGTATGAAAACTTGCCAACCCTCGTTGAACGCAACCCTTGTATAGGTTGATGGTAGTGCAGTGGTTTAGTCGCTGTCAGCGGCTTGTTTTCGACCCAGTGGTCCGAGGTTTGAACCCCGCCATCTAACTTCAGTGGTAGACAGCTTTGCTATAGTCCGATATAATGCCACGCCTAACTTGGCGGAGTCTTGTATGGTTCATCACTCCAAGTCCCGTGATTTAGGGTGCCGGTTATCATCACGGAACAGCAGGGGTCCATCCCGTCTGCTGTTCATCACACCATTGTATATGTGGTAAAAAAAGTACATCAGGAAAATGATTTATAATTTTCGGCAAAACACATGGGTTGAACCAACTGGTAACACTTATTGCAATCAAAAATTGTCGAAATTTTGTCCCAACCGTCTCTCTTACCGCTCCCTATCTATCTGTTACACACAATTCACCTCTAAAAGCACACGGAGATTGTTTTTCATCGATCCACGTTTCTCATTTTCATATTTAAAACTGGCTCGATGTTTGGTTCTTGTACGTCAAGTATGCTCCCAAAAAAAACAACTCCGAAGAGACCGTATCATTCAAGGATTATAAGTACCATGCTCTATTGATGATTTAGTAATCTTAAGTGTGTTCCGTTCCTTTTTTGTCCTCGCTTCTCTATCAATTCTCTCCTAGTCCGTTCCCAAAACTGACACAATGTTTTCATCTCTTCTTCACCGTTCGATCGAAATCTACCCTAAAAGCATAATTTTCATCTTGTGAACTTCTTGCCTCCTTGCTTCCTAGAATATGCCAAATTTTGTCGTGCTCAGTGCCCCTCCTATCTGTACGAGAAACCGGTTGTGTTCAAAGCTCTCGACAACCTGATCGAATCGGAATTGGTTGTCAGCGGAAAAGAGGCCTTGGCTGTCTCGGCCCTAATCACATCCGGTCGGGCAGCAAACAGTGCGGGCGCCCAAATGCCAAACTACAAACCACTGTTCTGTTTTGTCAACATGGAAACTATCAGCGCGTGTTTGGATGCCTATCCGAATTGTCCGATGGAGCTCCGGTTCTGGGTTCACTCCCGCACCTATTGAGTGTTTGTGTTCTGTTCGTTCTGCATGCATTTATGTGACCAAATACACGATGATCGCATATATTTTTCCTACCACCAGGTTTGTAAGTAAATCAGAGATATTTTTTGTACAGCATTTTTGGAACTTTTTTATTTATGCATTGCTGTCAAACAGATCGTTACTTCATATGCAATCTTTTTGCATGGTCAATAAATAAATGTGCAAAAATGGAACCTTTTTTCTGGCCACATTCCGAGGATTTAGTCAACTTGCGAAGAGGTAATGACTGAAGCTTACAGTTAATTAAGTTTACAATGCAGTGGGAAAAGCTGACAATCCTAGCCGTGAGATTCTGAGAATGATGAATCCTCAGAACAAGACGATAACTGTTCCGTTCGGTTAGTTCTATCGGGGGGTTGTGATTCAGCTTGTGTGAAACATGGTCATAGGTTCTAGATGCGATTTATCCTATAGGGCATATGATAATATTTCTCAAAACCATATAGTTTCGTACCCCTATCCCCCCCCCCCCCGGCCCGAGTTACTTAGTCAAGTGACAGACGTCATGAGTGTCAGAAAATTTGGACCAACCGATCCAAAGAATAGTCCTAATCTTGGAGACACACGTTTTACCCAATTTTTATAATTGGATAATTCTGGTAAATGTGGGTGCAACCGTAAATTGTAATAGCAATTTTTTCCGTTACGCAACGGACGCAAGCCGGTGTTTGAAGATAAAGGGTTGTCTAGATCAGCGGCTAGTATGATTCGGTAGGTAATAGCTACGTTTTGGATAGGGTGACTTCGTTATGCCGAGTCGGTTCGAAAGAAGTTGTTGTTCTTCATTCCAGCGTTGAGAGAACACGGGTTCTACGCACTTCGTCGGCAGTACACACCAATATGTTTTAGCTGAATTCGAATTTAACTTTTAAAGACTTTAGATCAGTGCGAGAAATGACAACTGCGATCACTGATATCAAGCTGCATACATGTACACTTGCCTACGCTTATTAAACTTAAAACTTAACTTAAACTGTTACAGTAGTGACATTCGTTTTCATTCTGGTATATGAAAACTAAATTTCAAGGGTGGTTGCCCTACCTAGAGACTTGATCCCGGTATGTGCGATATTTCACGGTATAAAAATGACCTCTCAAGAGAATTACAATCTTTGCCTTTCCTCGTGTTGTCTCGTCAGTTGTATCGACAAATTTGGGAGGGGAACTGTGGTTAATCAAAGTTTGTTTAGATAAATGCATAAGTAAGGAAGATGGGAAGTGGTGGTATGATTCGAACACGTGACCTCCGGAAGGCGGTAGTGACGAACTCGAAAACAGTCGCCAGTCCGATAACCCATTACCTAGGGACTATAATCAGTAGGACTAATGGAGTGATCGTTTATTTTGAATTAACTGGCTAAGAGCTGATTCCGAATAGAATCAAACCGATCATTCACAACCACTGGCATTTCGTCCGCATACTCTAGATCAGACAGTCTTCTCCTGGGAGTCAATCGATACCGCTATCCTCGCACGAGGATAAGGCTGATCCAAGAATTAAATATAAAACGAAGTGAAATAGAAAAGAAGAGAGAGTGAAACTCTGATGAATGCCCCTTCCCGTGGTGAAATCGGGTGAAAAAGTGTCGGACTCGGCTTCAGCTATTATTGCAGAGGGATTGTAATATTGAAATAAACTTCTCGGGCACATCATTTAGAGTGAGGTAGCGCCAGAAGTTAAAGCGGTCGACTGAGTCGAAAGCCGCTTCCAAATCGAGGAAGATAGTAACGGTGGGTCTACGAAAGGAGTGTCTGTGTTCTAGAATTTGACGAAAAGTGAGAAAGTGGTCGATACAACCTCGACAAGGTCTGAAACCAGTATGGTTCTCACGTGTACACCATACACGTGCGGCAGACAATCGACGGAGTATGATACCATCGAGAAGTTTAGATGCAATGTTGATTAAATTATTCCTCTGTGGTTTTCACAAGAGGATCTGTCACCTTTCTTGTAAATCGGTATGATCACCGATTGACACCATTCAGCTGGAACCTGTTTCCTCTTGCACACAGCCCAGGAGTTTCGTTAACTCCGAAATCAAGGGTAAACTTCCATCCTTAAAAACGGCTGGGGACAGCCCGTCGGGGCCAGAGGCCGTATACCTTTTAAGATAGCTTATTTCCCGGGAAACCTCCATTTCAGATTGAGGATTGGCATCAACTGGCAGTATTTGCGCAGTCGAGGCGGAGAGTGAAAGATAAGATCTCGATGGGGGCCAGTTTGAAGTGAGCCTTGAAATGTTCAACCCATCGGTCAAGACAGCTGATCGTGAATCACTGTGCCATCGGATTCCTTATTTACCTCACGCCTATTTTCCTGGGGCCCATATTCCTAATTAGATGGAAAAGGTTGCGACTATTACCAATTACCATTGGCATATCCAAACCTGTTTGGATTACTTCACTTTGCAAACAACTCGTTTTGATAGCGATTGTGTGGACCTATCCCCCCAAGGGAGCGTGCAACAATTCTCAGTCGGGATGGGATATCAAGTAAATGCATACTGAACCCCCATCAAAATTATTCCCAGGTCGTCCCCAATTTAAGCTGTATTTTTCGGGGTGGAGGACTAATGCATAGAGTGGGTATTAATTGTGGGTCATGCAAAGAGCTGTTCTTGGAATATCTTTTCACTGTTTGTGTTATATTAAACTCAGAACTGTGTGTGGGCGTGCTTAGGACGAGGACAAACTCTATGCATGCCCTTTTTGCGTCAGCATTCGACTACAAAACTGAGATAACTACTTTTACCTTTTCCAATATGGCCAACCGGATGTCTCGGAATTGTTGGCTACATTTCACAAGGTAAATGCTTGAGAAAGTATATCAGCCGGGTGATCTTGATTCGAACATGAACAAAAATAGAATAGTCGATCTGCCACCTACCTGTATCATTTCCATTGATCAGTTCCACAACTTTCATGAGCAGTTCTGAATAGGTTTGACTGTGACGATGTACACTAATTACCCTGCAGGTATTTGTAGATACTGTTTTATCATTGTGAACTTGAGAACCTAATCTCCAAACAAGCTTGCACAAAATATCAGGAATCGTAAATGAGTAATGGAGAATTTAATTCAATTTCATAGAACTACGTCGTGTTTAAGGCAAATGAAGCGAGAACTGAAAAGCTAGGAAGCACTGTACAGCTGTTCCGACCCCGTTGGGGATGGAACCCGGACCTCACAAGCAGAACGAAAGCATGCTACCCACTCCGTCACCGGGCAGCTGATCATACCGTCTTTCATTTTCCATTTATACGACATAGCACTACCCATCCTTGTGAGCTTGTTGCTGGCATCCCACCTCGCTCATCTTTACACTAGCCTCCGGGGTTATGATTCTGTTGGAAACTTACACGATCTGACCACTTGTTGTCGAAGTAGGTGTATAGTGCTTCCCGGCTTTTCCGTTCACGTTCCGTTTGCTTTATACGCGACGAATTCCTTCTATGAAACAATGGGAATCTCTGTGTCTGTGCGCTCAAACACGGTAGTTTAAGCACTATTTCTTTTGTGGTCAAAAAATACAATATCTGACTGAAGGCCATAAATGCGTTTCAGGCTACTCAAAGTATGCTGAGAAGTGTGGACATAGTTAAGGAGCACCAAACTTTGTTTTGCTTTGTACAACCTTTTTAAGCACTGAAACTTGTTTCAGTTAAAAAAAGAACTGCACATATCAACCGTCAAATGGAATGTATTTAACGGGGGAGTAGTTGTTCACAGACAGCGTATAGTTCATATTTCAGGGTTACGGCAAAGTTCACTCTTTGCCCTCTTCGTTTGTGAGTAAACAGACCTATTTCGATAAATATTTACACGAAAGGCCAGTTGTCAGAATTCAGAGAGTGGGGGGGAATAGGAACGACAACATGTCAATTCAATGTGCAGTGGGTAGTTAGGATCATTGAGAATCCTTCCTACAAAATTGGCATAAAAAGTCATATTATAGCCTGAAAGTTACAGAATTCGAAGGAATGCAGCTAACGGTCAGTAAACTGGTGTAAAACTTTAGAATCGTATCTAAGGAAGCTAGGGGAAACAAATTAAAGAACAATAAAATCAGATTTGGAAGACACTGGTATACTGATTGAGAAGCTTGAAACTGCACAAGTATTCAAATGTGAAATGATAGATAGACTCTACAGGTTACCAATGAAGTTGCTGGTATGGGTTGACCAATGATGATTGTTATCGATTGTTCTCCAAGATATTGAACACAGTTCACTCTTGATACAATTTTTTTATTTATCACTGTTGGGTCTGTTGGAAATAGAGTTTTAATAGCTATATAAACATACCATAGATTTGCTATGGTTTAAACTTAGCTCCGCTTGGGAGAAGAGCTGAATTTGCTAAAGATTATCAGGGAACGAGCTTAGATTAAAGTAAGTTGAAAAGGGTTGAGACAGAACAACGTCCTGTTAATTTCCTCTTATTGAGTATACAGTGATGCCATTTTCCGGAAGCCAGAAGCGATCAGTCAAGTGGCTGCCACACAACGCAGTGAATAGGGAAATTCAGGTTGTGATGGTAGGATTCGAACACACGTCCTCTTGGGTGATAGTTTATTGATCTTTACTACCGAACCACCACCGCCTGACTATTGCAAAACACGTGCAAGACGTATCATAATCGTACGTGGAAAACAAATATTGGTACAACACATCTTAAAATACTCTGGAGTTGCTGACTAAGGGTTTTGATTAGGTCTTTCCAAGTCTAGTGGTTCGCACTCTAACAGTAAAATAGTTGGATAACCAAGGTAACCATTGCTTGAAGCATTCAAAAGATTTCAGTTTTCTTTACGGCACTGACTGCGGAATGGAGTCTAATTATAAAAGATGATCAAGGAAAACACCAAACAGAGTCATTTAAAGACAGTCATAAAATGAATAAGAGTGGTGGTTGCATCCAAAGTAAATGTGTTAGGCTCGTGGGCAAACTGTAATGGATC